CCCACCCACCCAAGCCTTTCCAGGACTGGCACTGTTCAAAGCCACAAAGCAGCGGGTGGAACAGCTGCAGCTGGACCCATGTCCTGGTGCTGGGATGAAACTGCTGCCAGGAGAGAGCAAGTAGTGGGGGCAGGCAGGGGCTCTGGATCAGGAGGGAGGTGTACTGGCAGGGCTATGAGTTGGGAGTGAGGGGCAAGGGCATGGGCATGGGCAGGGAACCGGCATATCAGTGTTGCTCAGTACCACAAAGCAGCTGCGGGTCCAACTGCAGCTGTCCCCATGTCCTGGTGAGAAAAGTGGGCAGGGGCAGCTCTGTTTTTTCAATGATTAAAAAAAACCAAAAGCACGTCAAAATGTATAGATATTTAGAATGTATTTTATTATGATGACAGGCACTGGTAGGCTTCCAAGTTGCTATAAAACATTGCGCAACTGATCTCTCTCTCTCTCTCTCTCCCCCCATATATATATATATATATATATATATATATTAGTGGCATTTCATTTTAATCATGGAAGAATGAGGATTTTGGGCATTATAATGAGAAAATATGGGGGAGATTATCACAGAATTTGCAGTTTTTAAACAGGGAACACCAGGATCCCTGCTGGTGAGGCAACTGGCAGGACCCAGGCAGAGAAGCCTACCCAGGGCCAGCACCATGAGCTAGCTGGAGGGCAGATGAGGTGGCTGACTTCCTGGCCATCAGAAGCCAGGAGGACATGCATAGACAGTTCAAAGTGGGCCACCACAATGAGCACATCTTCCAGGCAATAGCTGCCCAGATGGCAGAGCTGGGGCACCAGAAGACATGACAGCAGTGCCATTCAAAAGCCAACTGTGCAGCCACGGTCCATTGGTAGCTGGCCCAGAAGTGCAGGTAGCTCTGCTGTAATGCCCATATCACAGCCCAGGCAGCTGTGTGGTCCCTGTCTGGGTCTGACAGGCATGCAGCCATGGGGCTGCAGGTCACAGCCAGGCAACAGCCCCTGCCAGGCAGACTGCTGCAGTAGGTAGAGGGGGCAGAGGCCACTCTAGGTTAGGGCTGCTTCAGCAGTCCAGCTGTCACAAGGGGCTAGTGTCCCCAGATACCAACTGGCTGAGCCTCAGAAGCTCCTGAGGGCAAGTAGCCCTGAGCTGCTCGCTAGGGCAGCTTTTTACACTTCTGGTGCCAGCACAGGTGCCGGCCTTAGCTTCTAGCTGCCCCCTGGTTGAAGATATGGGAGTAGCTGGGCAGGATCAGTTTGCTCGACATCAAGGTGCATGTTCAGGCCTGTGTGCTGAGGCACAAATCTCAAGCACAAATTTGTGCTGCTGCTACTTGAGCTGCTGGAAGTACATGTGCCTACTGTGTGGTTGTGCTCAAAGATTTCAATAGGAATCCATAACGACAAAATCATTCTTACCTACCATGGTCTTTCTGAGTTCTTTGTCTATTATTTTTCTATTTATAGTAAAAAAAAATGAGTAAAAGGGAAAAGCTGGCAGTTTCTGAGTAGTCCCTTGAGTCTTATAAGGCGTACCCTGAGTCTAAAAATGTTGAAAACCACTGCTTTACATTATGCTGCATTTGTTAAACAATATGCAAAGTAGCCATACCCAAAGACAGAGAGAGAGAGAGAGAGAGAGAGAAAGAGAGAGAGCGCATGTTCTTTTTGAATCCACTACATCAGATTATACAAAGGGAAAAAGACACCTTATCTGAGTGACACTCCATTCTGGATCTGTGCCTGCATTTTGGGTGTGCTGGTAACGGAGAATTTGGCTCACTTTTGGAAGTCTAACAGTTCTTTTTCTGGTAGGCAGAGTCCACTGTTTTGCCAAGTTTTTATCTTGCAATCTTACAGATTGTTGGTTTGCCATTTTAATTATTTTGTAATTTGTGATATCACTTTAAAAATGTCTCCATGCAATTAAGCACCCCAGTATCACATTAGATAACCTCCAGAGTTTACACATGCTGAGGCTGTATTTCATTTTTAGCTACAGTAGGCTTCATTTTGATTTGCAGCAAATGACCAGAGGCTACATGACTGCTCACTCAATTGGATAATACCATCTTTTTAACTGTATCCAACATATTACACAAGGATTGATATTAACAAATAAACCCACCTGACCACACTCAGAAATGAGGCAATCCAAACTAATTGTGGCGGTAGGGGGAGATGCTCCATATAGTTCTAGTAAGAAACATCTTTAGCTATTTCCATCATTTTAACAACTTCTTGACAATCTTTTCTTAAATTAAGCATTTTCTTACTTCCTCCTAGATCCTCTTTTTATCTTCTATTTCCTAAGGTCCTAATTCTGCAAAGACTTATTGCTGAGTACAGAGAGCATTATGGAATAGTCCCATTGGACCTATGAATTAACCCACTTAATCTTAGGACATTTGAGTTCACCTGCTGCCTCTCCATAGACTTCCTGAGTGATATTGGACAAATCACATATGACCAGCTTTTTAAAAATATTAAGGAGACAGGTAGGTGTTCTCATTGACAGTAACAGGAGTTTGGCACCTTTAGGGTTCAGAGAGATGCCTACTTTTCATTGATCGCAACTGGAGTTAGGCATCAGTGTGCTATATTTAGGTGGCATATTTAGGTACCATGACACTTTTTAAAATATGAACCTTTACTTCATGTTGCAGTTCCTCATTTGTAATATGAGGATGGATATCACTCCTGTCTCCCACACTTTGTCCAGCTTCTAAGAACTCTGGGACAAAGACTTTTCCTTTTAATATTCATGTGCATAATGTAAATAGAGCCCTGATCTCACTTGGAGCTACTGCAATTTAAAAAAATGTTATGCTCAATAACACAGTATGGGTTTGCACATCTAGATCCTAGTGCAGTGAGGGTAGCCTCTGAAATATCTTTCTGTGGTTTCTCTTGGGATATAGTTGGGTTTTTCAACTCCCATGAACCTTGATAGTTAAGTTTTGGAATATTTAACAAATGGCCTGTAGTCCCCAAGGCAATGAAGAGAGATGAGAGCTTGCATAGGTCTAATTTATGGTAATACTGTGAAAAAGCAAATCAGAACTCTAAAAACAAATCAGATAAACCTTAAAAAATATAGGCTTGTATAAAGAATGCAAGTCCAAGGGACATAAATGTAATATTAAATTTATCCAAATAAAATAAGCTTAAGAAATCAGCAGTGAATAAATTTGTTTCTGAAAGGGCTTTTTAGCCTGAGGAATTCCAGTGAGCAGTAACCGGAAGAAGAGTGCAGCTGTGCTCCTTTGCAGCAAAACTCACCAAGACTTCTTGTTCACAGTATCGTTAAACATAATTTGTTTCCCATCTGTATAGTGAATCTTGTTTAAGAGGAAGCAAAGTTCAGAGATTTCTGTATCTATCAGACTACTTACCCAGTATAACACATCAGTCCATCCTTCCATGGTTATACACTGGAACACAGTTAACATTGCAAAGGCAAAGTTATCAAAGTTGGTTATGCCTCCATTTGGTCCAACCCAGCTGCCTTTACATTCAGTGCCATTCGTTGAACACTGACGTCCATTCCCTGAGAACGCACAAGGTGCTGGATCTTCTTCAACTAATATATCTGAAAATTGACCAGAACCATTTCAGAATTCTGAATTCTCCAAATCATTGTCTAATTATTTGCCCAGTGAAGAGATAAATCAATGTTGGTGAACTAGTGACAACATCACTTCAAGAGATAATGTATTCTGGTCTTGATGCCTAGAAGAGCTGAGAAGGGGACTGTACAGAAGATGCAGGCCCTTGGCATCTCTCAGGTCCAAGTCCCCATTGTGCAAGGATAGAAACTGTCAAAACTAAATGAACAAAAAGTTCAAGTAATACAAGATGGAAAAAACACAAATGGACAGCTTGTGGTAATGTGAGGTATCTTGCTGGACTGACATTCACACTCTAACTAACATTAGCTTTCTTTTGTTAAACTTCTTCCCATCCCAAATTTCTCTCTTCCCTTCTTCTCAACAGGCCTGCAAAAGTCCCTGCATTGGGTCTGGTCCATTTCATATTTGGCTGATGGAAATGTAATTCCAATCACTTAACAGAATTTCTCACTTGTGGTGCTCTTTCATTCCTCCTAAGCCCTCCCATATCAAATGCTTTTATTGCATCACTTAAACTATATCTGAATGGGGGAAGATTTGATTTCTCTATTACGCACATTAGTGCAGTTCCTATAATTAGACTGCCCAAATTGCTGAAACAGAGAGACAGCAGGATCTGCCACAGGAGGATAAGTCTTCCCTATGATATAACTATCTTCTTTAGTAGCTTGGGATTCAGAACCCAATTACTGAGCTTCCCACTGTGGGCTGTCACTACATCACTGTGTTGTCCCTTTGGCTACATTTTCTGCTAACCAAGTTCAGTTCAAAGCAAGTATTACAGCTTCAGTTTTTAGTCAGCTTTTTAAAACTCAATATATTTGTTCAAAAATCATGAATCACTAGGGAGACTAAGATTTAGAACAGTGTTAGCATATAGGCCGTATCTACAGAAGACCTATTGACTTAAAAGGGACTGGAATTAGGTCGTTATGTTATTTAATACCTTTATGACTTACCTGTACCAATAAGAAAACATGATTTGTGCATTTTTCCAATAAAAAGTTCCAATCCTATGATAGCATAAATTATGATTACAAATAATACCAAAAGGGCAATATGGAGCAGAGGGACCATGGCTTTTATAATGGAGTTCAAGACAACTTGTAAACCTAAAAGAGAAAAAAAAGAATACACAGATACTGAACCAGGCTTTCCATTGTTTTAGCTTTTCTGCTTATGAAACCTGCAGTTACACATTATTAGACATTTATAACTGAGAAATCAAGGGCTGTAAATTTAAGATCTGGGTTGAACCTAGCATTTCCTCTCCAGAGCATAAACCTTGCTACATCAGCTCGGAGGAAGATTTCTGAAACTGCTCTGATTTAGAAGTCCAAACCTAGGGCTGCTTTAGAAAATGTTAACATTTAATTACAAACCTCACTGGACATTGCTTGTATTTAGTGAGGCTAATATCATAGGAAGCAATGCTTGAGAGGCAGCAGTAAGAATTCATGCTTTTTAAATGTAGTAATTTAAAGTGGGAGCTAGGCTCTATATTACCAGAAGAAGCTTAACAATCCTGCGCTTAGACCCCGATTTTGCAAGAAGTGTGTTTTAGATGTGCCCAAGTGTCCAACTATACAGAGCTTGTTGAAGAACTGGCACTTGGTTCGGAAAGGTAATAGCACAGTTTGGGAGCACTGCACCTGTCTGGTAAATATCTTTTAAGCTGATTTTTGTACTAAGGAAAGCTTTAAAGAATGAAAACATTTGAACTCAGTCATTTGTCCTTCATGTATTTTTTTTCATTTTTTCCTTATTGTTCTTGCCATTTTTCCCTAAATGTATTTTGGCCAAATTCTGCTCTGATAGCTAGTAAGTCCCAAATTAATGGAGTTAATATCATAGTCATGTTTTATCATAGAAAATTAGGGTTGGAAGGGATCTCAGGAGCTCATCTAGTCCATCGATAAGAGCAGAATAGGGCTCCATGGTATTAAAACAAAGGCTGTCTCTATTATGGCATTTATTCTCATACCCCTTGATTCCCCACTTAAGTTATTTTGCTAAGTCTGTATTAAAACGATCACCTCCATGCAACAGATTATGACGTAATAAACATGACATTTTGATGTTTCTGTTGAAGCTAATACAAGAAGCTGAGCCATGAGTCAGAAACACATCATTCCACCCAAATATCTTCTATAATTAGAAATGAATGAAAAGGTAATAGGATTATTAAAAAGACAAATTGCTTTCTTTAAATAATATTGCTCTATTTTTCGAGTTTTCTAATTTTGGAAATCCTTCTTATATTCCCTTTGGGATAAGCATCAGTGAGCCATATTAACTTCAAGAGAAGTCATTCATCTGCATGAGGGTCAGAAAAAAATGAAAGTGCTTATGAGCTGTGACATACATTTACCTGCATATAAACTACATTTGAGCTACCTACATTTAAGCTCCCCGGATTTTGCTTTCAATAATGTAACTTTATTTTCCAGTGCATTTGCATTTTAACATGTAATTTAATTTATATTAAACTTCTAAAAATGAAATACATTCCCGTCTGCTTAGTGAACTATATAAGAAGATCATACACTGAATGACTTCACAATCCCTTACTGAACTTCAAATAGAATATTATACATCTTGAAGCACACTTTATCTGCATAACCAGATAACAGAAATCAACTTTAGCCTGTCACATATATTGTTTTCTCTAGAGCACGAAGGTTAAATAAACTGAAAAAATAATACGGTAAAACAGATATTTTTTTTCCAACAGAATTACACAGAAAAGGGCTTACTGGGCACTCCTGATACGAGCCGGAGAGGTCGCAATACACGAAAGGCTCTTAGGGCTTTGACATCAAAGCCACCTGGTTTGCCACCTGAGTGGCTACCTCCTTCTGCTTCTTTGGTTAATTGTTCCAAAATTACACTAAATAATCTAGCAAATAAAAAGAAAAGAAAGGTCATCACCACCCATTTGCCATGTAATCAGAAAAATTAGGAAATTGCTGGAATTGTGGATAATTCTGAAAAACTGTTCAGCTGTTGAAATGAGGTGTATACTTATGTATTAAAACATGACAGTGATAGTCATGAAGCGCAAGAGCTTCTAATCCCTCAAGAGAGAGATGATCACACAGTATCCACTAAATTAATTTTCCATAAGGATACAGTCATTGCTATTTTTAAACGAATGAAGCCACTTTATCACTGATTTTTGTTCAAACATTTCAGCTGTGAGGTCTGCAGAATTAGTCTCTGTAGAACATTAAATAGATAATTACAAGGAACTGTCATTTTTATATTTTGTGCAATATATGAACTCCAGTGACACTATGATCCAGTATTCTAAACACAGGGAAAACAATCAGTAGTATCAGGCTTTTCATAACGTCCAAACTCTTTGTTTCTTACTCATAATAAACTTTGAGGGTAAAAATACTCCCTGATGAGTCACTTATTGTACTGCATTTCTTAGCTGCAAAAACTGGTTGCTCTTTCACTAAAACAGTGATAGAAAAGGAGGCTTTCCAGTACCAATAACACTTCAAGCTGACAGTGGTGAAGGTCACAGGAGATGCCTATACATGTGCAGCGAGGCTGTTCCGACACGCTATAATTACAGTACGCCAGAGCAGACTTGATTAATCGAGTCTGCTGGAGCGTGGTAATTAACACACTCCAGCAGCCCTCTGCATCTGGTGTAGCAGCATCCCCACATTAAAAATGGTGGTGGGGGTGCTTAAAATAAAGCTCATTAAATGAGCTTGAGTTCAAATACCCCTGCCATCAGCATAGGGATGCTGATACATGAAATGCTGTGGTGCTTTAATTATAGCAGCTCTTGGAGCTGCTCTAAGTAAAGCACCCCTCCCCCCCAACCCCAGAACACGTGTAAAAGTGCCCTTGGGTATTCCCTCTACTCCTACAATATACCCAGCTTGGGTCACCCTTTCCCATTCCCAGTCTGTTCCACCTTCTCACCAGTGTGGATCCTAACCACAGGGGGTGTGGCCTGTCCCAGGGAATGTAAAACCTTTCAGTAAATTAAAGAATGCAAGCATGTAATTCTGTAGGCTCTGGTTCAACAGCATAATTAAACACAGGACTAATTTGAAGTAACCAAGCAGTCCTGTTGGCTTCAAGGAACTACTCATGTTCTTAACATTAAGCACAGACCTAAAATTGCTGAATCAAACTCAGAACATTTATGGAGGATGCAGCTTCCAGTCACTCACTACAGGAATAATTGGCAAAATTAGAGGTCCAAAGGGATAAGGTACTGTGCAAACCTCTGTACTTAGGACCTGATCTGGTCCTTTTTTCTCAAAGTTGTTGTTAAAGTCAATGGTAAGCTTTGCTCAAGTAAAGAAAGGAGTGTATAAGGAAATGGATTACTCTTAAGTGATCCATCCTCTGACTGAGTTCAGTGGTAGTTGACTAAGTCAGGGAAGAATAAGAAGTGCAGAGCAAGGCCTACAACTATGTCAATACATATCAGCCCTGCCAAACCACTAACTAAGCTATATAAAACTGGCAGGCCCCTGATTTCATTAAAAACAGAACATTTATTATTCTGTGCGCTGTATCAAAGCCATATGGGATTAAAAAAAACACTGCTTAAGTTATTTACGTTAGAAAATTTCCTGCATTTCTTTTCCTATTGAAACATATTTTGGAACAGGGATGATTTTGTCTTTGGAGCCACTGAAATTTCTGCTGACAGTAAGAGCATTTCATTTAACATATTTAATGTTGGATGCCTGTGGCAGTTCCTTTGAAGATATTAAAATGTCTAATGAAGTTCTATAATGAATCAGTTCCAAGAGAATCAGATCCAGAGGTGATTCAGCCTCCACAGAGGGTCAAATACCAAAATCAATTATTCACTGGGCTTTTTTACTTAAGGGTGCAAATTAATTATGTAACTGGCCCCATGCTTGCTTACTTGCTTATGGTCTGTCATTGATGATCTTAAAGTAAGCATGAAAAGTATGCCTCATCCTCTATGAGTGATGGACCCATGTTATGCAGCACCTTCCTTTGCCCTGTTGCAGTAGGTTGAACATACAACTACAATAACTGCACCTCATATAATAATCCTTCTCTTCTGGTTAGGTTCAGGGGCTTATATTTAGGTCTTAGGATGAGATTTTAAGTATACAGTGGGATACAGTTCAATTATCCAGTCTCAGTGATTTTCACCACTGATTACGTGAAAATCTGACCCCCTCATTGCATGAGGTATCAGATAAAGATGTTACAAAATGTAGCATCTTTTGTAACTTGTGTCTGCAGAGCTCTCAGCCTGTCCCTGTTTGCAGAATGGGAGGGGGGAAAGGGAGCAGAGGGAGTTTAGTTTAGGGGGTTTTCAGCCCTGCTGATGTGGGGGGAGGGCTCCAATTCACCCACCGCACCCTTCAGCACCAGCTGGGGAGCCCCAGGAATGAGCTCCCTTTGCTGCCTTTCCCTCCTCCCATTCTGAAAACAGTGAGCACTGGCAAAGAGCCCTGGTGGTTGCTATAGGAACCTGGCTGTAGGCTCCCAGCCCATTCCCCTCCCCCTGGAACCAACAGTGAACTTCTGTTTGGTCTGGGGTAAGGCTGTAACTCAGAGCGCTTTGCGAAAATCCTTCAGGGTTAAAGCTGGGAGCTGCACTTCTGTCTGCACCAATTTAGCACAAAGCCATTTTACATAAGAGCTTGCTTTTCTCCTATTTTATCCATAGGCCAGAACCTGGTTGAATACCACCAGACCAGCACAATGAAAATCTTTTCAGTAATTTTGATTTTCTAAATATAATCTGAAGAGAAAACATCTGAAGTGAAACCGCAAATACTTTCACTCATATTCTACATAGATTTTTATGGACTTAAATAGGACCTTCAGTTTTAAAAAAGTCCCTTGTTTCAGTCTGATCACAACATTTGCATACTTAGAAGAAAGCAGAATATACACTTTAAGATTAACACCAGTGATGCTTGGAGGCAAGATCTTCCAAGTCAGCACATTAACACAAAGAAAATCAATACCAACAATGAAAATATTAAAGCTGCTGACATCAAAAGGCAAATGGTACATGGTTCTTACACAAAGGGAGTCTCCCCACACCCCTGTTCTTCATGTAGGGGCTGAACAGAAGGGTAGTCACTGTACTTAGAGAGTACAGGACATGCTCCCATCCCACACCCCTAGAATTGCACAATGCAGCTCACAGTTCCTCCATTCTGAACTGAAAGTCTTTCAGGGCTTGACCCCTCCCTCTAGTAGAGTTGATCTATTAGTTCTGCATGAGTAAAGGTTAGCAAATTTAGTCCTTCAGTTCCATCAAAACAAGTCATTCATGGATCTTTCTATAAAGACACTATATTTACAGGACAATGTTTTTAGAACGTTGTTTTTGCAAAGTATAAACTTACCCTACTATTACTATTACAAAATCCAGTAAATTCCATCCATTTCTAACATATGCGTTGGGGTGTAATAATAATCCATATGCTATAATCTTCAAAAATGTTTCAATAGTAAAAATTATCAGGAAGGCATATTCTACTTTTTCCTGTGTAAAAAGAGAAAAAACAAATGTCAGCACAAAAGACAAAGTAATTTAAGAGGTTATTCTTTAATTAAACTTTAATCCAAATAACTGAATAATTCTATTGGTCAGTATTAAGAAAAGATACTGACTCAAGAGAATTTCTCTCTTCAAATTTAAAAAACCCTTCTGTGACAGCAGACATAGTATTTCGCCTGTTGAATGAAGTGATTATAATTAAATTGGAATCTTCTTGTTTCACACTGTCTTAAAGTCAAAGGACCAAATTTCGGACACTATCCTGCAAACGTTCACTGATTCCAATAAGACTAAATGCATGCATAGAGTTAAATATATTTTGCAGGACTGGGCCCTTGCAATGCTGTTTAAAGAGAAATAACTTAGTTCCACTTGATTAATCTAAACTTAATTAGAATCTGCAAGGTCTAGTTATACCAGTTTACTGATGCTAAAAGAGTGTGATCATGCTAAGGAGCTGCAAGGTGTATATTAAGGTGAATTCCACCCAAGTTTAATTTGATACCTTTTACAACTTCTTTTTGTCTCCTCAGCACATATGTTATACCAACTTAGAATATGTCCCAATGCATTTTTAAGTATGTCTAATTTATTAACATTATTAAGCTCACATTTAAAATACAATTAGAGCTATCACCTGAAATTACTGTCATTTTATCATTGTTAATTGGGCATTTTTTATATTTGTGGCTTCCTCTTTCCCACATAAATCAAATATTAGTGTATTTGGGCTTGGGTACACTGTAAGATAGTGGTTTATCAAAATGGATCAACAACAACATTTGTTCTCTCCATGTTCTGAAATCCCTACTTCAAGAAGTTGAATAAGCTTTTTGTTTACTTGTCAGTTCCCACACAAATAGGAGAGCCAAGAATACAAGACCTGCAGAGAATGATTCACATTTTTAAACTGAATAAGGAACTCACTGGAGACAGTTCATTATAATCTTATACAACACTACCAAACAGTTTAATTCTGAAAGCTTCTACTATCATATATTTATATATTACAAATAAAGACTATTAGGTATCTATTTACTAGGCTTGCGCAAAAGTGAAAAGACAGCCCTTGCTCAAGCAATTTACAGCCAGAAGACAGACCTGGAAAGGACACACAAAAGGAGGTCATCTTCATTCAGGGGGATTGGATTGCCCATCTAGTGGAAAAAGTGCCTGAGGCTGGATTTACTATGGAATTTTCTGAGATGTCCTTGAATTGTTCTCCTGAAATTGATCTGTCAGGAAAATGAGGATTATATGTCCTCCCAGCAAAATGAGAAGTGTGTTTTTCCTCCCAGTTCTCAAAGGCACTGGACATGGGAGCTCTGGCAGGATGGGTCCAGGCTCTGCAGCATCAGTGCTTCCTCTGCTGCCTCAGGTACACAACGGAACGCTACTTAAAGAGTGCTTTTGCATCTTGCACTGCATTTATGTAAGTGTGCCTACTGGGGAGAAAGTGTCTGAAGAGAATTATGGTCTGGTTACACTTTGCACTTTGAGCTGTTCAAATGTTGATCAGTGTTAATGCTTCCTCGAATCTGAAGCAGTCACATCTTAAGTCTAAAAACCAAAGCTATGCGAAGCTTCGTTGCCTGATTCAATTCATCAGAGATTCGGCCCGATTCCGTGTCCAAATCTCCAAATCTGAATCGAATCAGGAGACCCTTTAATATCTCCAAATAGAATCAGAACCCTCCAAATTGATTTGGAGAGATTCGGAAAGATTTGGAGATTCAGACATAGATACAGCTTTAAATGTTTTTTCTATGTACCTCAAGGTGCCAGGTGGCTTGTGAATGCTGAGATGGTGGGGTGGATGGAGCATCCCACAGAAGCGCGCTCAGCAGCAAACCTGGAAGTGGACCAGGAGCCCCCCATCCTGTGCGCCCTTTGGCTTGGCGACTGGTGCCTCCTGGGTCTGGGAGGGCAGCCAATCAGCAAGCTGTGAGGATGCGAGGGTGGGCCCCCAGCACGCTCCCCAACAGACCCAGAAGTGAACCAGAAGTAGTTCCAGTCCACTTACGGGATCACCGCTGAGCACGTAAGCAATAAACTCTAGCACAAGGCAATAAACTCTGGCACAGTTTGTGCCAGAGCTTATTTCTCCCGGGGGCACCTTTTACACATGCACCCAGGACTGCAGCACATTGAGCCGGGGCGGTGTAGCCCTGGCTGGCAGGGGGCCCTAGAGGTCAGCCTGCCAGTCCAGAGCTGCTCCCCCCCAGCTCAGCATACTGTAGTGGGGCTGGCTGGGGACTCCAGTGTGGAGCTAGTCAGCAGGCAGCCCCCACACTTTGGCAGCCTTGTGACCCTGCCAACTGCAGTCACCAATGTACGTGTGCATTATGGCAGAGTAAATAACTCTGCCTTAGAATAGAACTTGTGTCTATCGTACAGTTGAGTTAATTAGTTCATGCTGGCCTAACAGAGGCGCACATGTAGATGGTGATGCTTTACGTGGAGCTAATTAGTCAACTGCAGTCAGGTGTCTCATGTAGATGCACCCAGTCTCATGTTTTAATTTGGGATTGGGCTGTAAGAGGTGCTGGTCATGCTTCCTGAGGTGAGTGGAAGGTGGGAGCAGTGAAGGAAGATGCTTTTCAGGGAGTTACTGCCCCTGCCCTGGGAAGAAACACCTAGCTCATGGTGACCCAATCTAGCCCCCTACCTCATTTCCCCTCATGCTCCCTACAGCCCACTACTTGACCCATCCATACCCTGCAACCTGGCTAGCTGACATGTACTCTGCAGACTGTTTGCATGGGGTTGCACCTCTGGAGATGGGAAGGTCACACCCCTGAGGGTGGGAGGGTGTGTTGGCTTGGTGCCAGAACCGCCTTCCCCTTCTGGGCAGTAGAGTTTGGGGGAGAGGATTTTGTCCACGCAAAACAGAAGGAGGGGAAGGGACACTGCATCTGGGATGCTGGAGGACTACAACTTGGGTGACTCCTCTGTGGGGAGGCCACACGTTAATGGAACATAGGATGGGTAACACAAAATGGAGAGAATCCTGCCCTGGAATGGAATAACTTTAAGCTACCCTGAAGTGTGTTTAAAACTAGTTTCAGGTGTTAATGTATGGATAATCCAGGGGTTAAAAGCTCCAGAAGCTGCCTAAAATTAATGGGCAACAAGGGCCTTACAGGGCACTGAGGAAGAAGTAGTACTATAGAAAGACTCTGAATGGTTTTGCATAGAAGGTGATACGTAGGAAGGCCCAAAGACCCAGTGTTATAGGTTACGAGTATTCCTGAGAAATACTCTATAGAATTGTTGAAAATAAAGGCAAGCCTCAACGTTTATACAGTCTACAGGAACAGTATTTCCATCTCACTATTGATAAGCAAGGCTCTGACTTGGACACAGAAAGATAAATAGTATAAGACAACATAAAGAAGGCAAAATATATTATGGCTGGCATTTGCTACAGGCAACATACATAGTTGCCAGAGTATTAAGAGAGAAGTTTAAACAATAAGAGATGGGAAGTTTTGTCTGTGACAATTTGAATAGGTTTTTTTGGGATAGGAATAGAAGATGTAGCACTTGCAAAGATCTCCTGGGTCATCAAGCATGCCCTGCGTGGCCCTCCCCCCCACCATTGATTGGCAGAGGTGCCCCACCATTCCCTCCACTTTGAGCCAGGCTCCAGAGTGAAGCCCATTGCGCCCCCGTGAGCTCCAGGACCCCCAGAACCACCATGACAGACCCCAACCTTTACCAGAACCACCATGGCAGACCCCAACCTTTACCCCGAGCACAGCTGGGAGGTAAGTGGGGCCCGCAGTGGATGGAAGCTAGTCAGCTGCAGGGCGGCAGAGAGGAGCCAAGGAGAGTCATGCCCTCCCGCCTCAGCTCCTACTTGGCCCAGCCTCCCCAGGGAGCCACACAACCGGTGTTGCCCAGCCCATGAGACAACGGAAGAGGGGGCACTCACCTGTCCCCTTCTCTGGTGGGGCAGGGACCCCCAGCCCCTGAGAGTAATGCAGCACCAGCAGTGGACTCTTCTGCACATGCACAGAGTTTAAAAAGGGCCCGCCAATGGCAGAAGCTGCAGTTTGGGCCTAGCTATGGAGTGAGAAACACGGGCACAAGCCCGTTGCACCCCTGTGAGCCCTGGGACCCCCAGAACCCCTACTGGTGGTCCCTCAAAGTCTAGGATGACATCCTTCAGGTGACTGAGGAGGCCAATTCTGGATGCACACATCCTTTGGCAATGAGGGCATGTTGTTGTGCAGGGGACTGGGATTCACAGCCCCAGGCTGGTCCCCTTCTCCTTCCTCCGCTGCTGCCATTCTGCTTCAGTATTGAGTCGTTGGGCCTCAAAGTGGCACATGCCTTGGTGGACCAGGTGGTGCCATGCCAAACAGTCAGCAGCTTGCTCCTCCCAGCCACTGGTGGCCTCCCTGCTTGAGGGCAACCTTGTACCATGAGGTCTGCTGCCTCCCAGGGGCCCGTATTCAGGATGTAGCTGAGAGGATCCTGAAACTTATCTGGCCCTCCAACCATTACCCCATGCTCCTTATCCGTGCGGAGCAATCCCAGCTGGGTCATGAATCCTGGAGTCCCAAACAGGACTCTGGGAGTGGGACTCAGAGGGTCTAGGACACAGGTGGTTTTCTCCTCAATCCTTCCAGTTACAGGTCATGGGCACAGGAGGGTGAGAAGAATTCAGTAAGTAAACAAACGACTGTGGCGCTGGTGCCATCGTGAAAGCTTCAGATTATATGACCACAGCCCACACTTCAAAGAGAGTGGCAGCGAGTTATTGGGAAGGGACGGCCTCCACCTCACTCATATGGGGAAGACTCTCTTCTTGGCTGGAATGGCTGACCTGCTTGACTGGGCTTTAAATTAAGTTTGCCAGGGCATGGGCAGATAATCACCGGTGCAAGCTCACCAAGCGTCAGCCATCAAATCAGTAAGTCAGGCTGTATAAAGGAACACAGTCCTACCCCACCCCAGAGATGGGGTCTTCTAGGAATGCAGGAAAGCCTAGGGCCTCCAATGGTAGGCTTACTTGCCTATATACAAATGCCAGGAGCCTAGTCAACAAAAAGGAAGAGCTGGTCCTTCTGCTAAACAGAAACGACTACAATCTCATAGGGATAACGGAGACCTGGTGGGACTCTACCTATGACTAGACCACAGCTATAGACAGCTATACCCTGTACAGGAGAGATTGTGTTGTACGAAAGTGCGTAAATGTAGCTCTCTTCTCCACCTGTTCCAATATGAATTCATTTTTCTTGAAGATTGGTGACCAGATGTGTACACAATAATCCAGATGTAGTCTCACAAATATTGCTTTACATAATAAAGTAGTTACCCATATAGTTAGTAACTAGCAGCCATTGCCTGTCAAGATATTTTTTTTCCAACAAGATGTCGCCAGTGAAATAATAGTTCTCCTCCAATTACATTCTGTAGTCTGATGATCATGGAGGAAAAAGCTCTCTGCCATCATCTGCTGGAAAATCAGGTTTCATTTGTATGATTAACTGCCAGTGAGACATATTGGTTGTTTTGATTTGTTTTGCATGTAAAGTAGCAAAATGTTATCTTTGTGAGCTGAAAGGACCATAGAACCATATTTAATATTTACTATGGGGAGGATTCTCCATAACTAAACCTCAGTTGAAAGATTGATTGA